TATGGCTTGTTAAATATTGGCATAGATTGTCTTTGTTACCTGAAAATCATATTCTAAAATGTGCACTTAAACAAGAAACAGTGTCTTCAAACTCAAGCTGGATAAAACATGTTAAAACAATTCTTGGACATGGTGACCTATCTGAAGTAAAGAAAATATATAATGTGGAAAACATCACTGAATTAACAAAATTGTTGAAAGAAAAATTAAAAAATAAATATATACAAACATGGAATCAGCAACTTAGTCATGTCCCAAAAAACGGAAATCCAGGAAACAAATTAAGAACGTATAATTTGTTTAAAATGGAATATGAATTTGAAGGATATTTAACAGAAATTCAGGACTTCAATTTGAGAAGAATGGTTACCAAGTTTTGACTTAGTGACCATAATTTGGAAATAGAATTAAGCAGGAGAAAATTTCCAAGAATTGAGGCAAACAACAGATTGTGTAAAAAATGCAACACAGTTACTGTAGAAGATGAAAAACATTTCACCCTTGACTTGTTGCTTCTTCACTCAAGAAAGAAATACCTTCTTAGAAGACTGTAAATTAAAAATGTGTAATACAGCTAACCGAAATTTATTGTTCACTTACATTTTAAATACTGTAGAATACTTTATTTTCGCTTGGAATTTATTTTCGCTGAAGGGATGATTCCGTGAAAAGAAAATCCAGTGAATATACTTTTTTTCCTATATTTCACATTAAACTTATCAAAAATCAGTGAAAATAAATTCCATACAAAATGCCCAAAACGCCTCTTCAGCAAAAATTAATTCCAGCGAAAATAAAGTATTCCACAGTAGTAGTACTGCACTTGCAAAATACTTAAAAAACACAATTTATAAAATCTAATTGTGAATCTGTATTTTATATATACCCTTTAGTTTGTTTTGTTTGTAATTTTGAAACTTGTTTTTGTTTTTTTTGTGACGGTGCAGTTAGGGAGAGTTCCCGGTTGGCTGAAAGGTCAGCTAACAGATGTGATGAATTGCGCATGTCTATTGACCTGTCACTGAAACTGCGCAACTCTTGTATTATGTCACAAAATATTTAATTTTCCGTACCAGAGCTATGCTCTCGTGAAACAAAATGTTTTTTTAATACTTGGTGTTCATCCTGTGTTGGAAGGTCCATGTTTTTACATAGCAGAGCCAGACAGTCACTGATGCAATGTCTGTGTTTCTATGTAATGTCTGTATTCCTTTACATCACAAGAGGGACTATGATTACACACAGAATCTTGAGTAATATTTCCTGTGGTTGGCTGCTGAAGTCAATACATGTACGCTCATGGGATGCAACATTTATGTTCAGATACAGGACATTATCCTTGCTCAAAATAATTGAAATTATTGAAACAGTTCAGTGATGTAATTCATGCAGATATCATTTAAATTGGGGTTTACCGAATTGATAGCGCTTACACGCTCATTGTTTGTACACTTGTGCATATCGCGTGACCTGGGGTCAACAAACTGGAAGGTAGGACAGATTTTGAACCCTCCGAACACGCGGAATCGCAGTGCACCGTACATCACTGTTTCCCCTGAAATAAAACTGCATCTTAAAACTCATACCAGCCTCTGAATATTTGCACACTATTCTGCCTGAGCAAGAAAAACGAGCATGCAAATTACTTTGGCTATAGCGTAATATTTTCATATTTATTGCGGGTATTTTGGGAGTTGAAAATCCATGTCACGGTCATATATTTACTCTGTGAAGCACACACATACCATCTCTATTTCAGTTCATTTTCTCTGAAAATCCACGTTTCTCAGCTGTCTTAAATAGTTCTTCTAGCCTCCCTTGTTTGAACCCACCCATACTTACTCTGCTATCTTTAAAAAAAACTGTTTAAATATGCCACATATTCCGGATTGCATGTCTACCAGTGCTCTTTTGACTTTTTATATTTTTGTCCTACCCTCGCCTGTTGCTATGTAAGTTACGCATGCGTAAATAGAATTACATCACGTCTGACGCTAATTCGGAAACCGGGAATTAATCACCCTTGCTCCGAAACTAATACTAATCACTAATACTTGTATATTAATGTACGATTAGATAGATCACTATTTTCCACTCCAGAATGAACCGATCGAATATCTTTAAACAAACCTATACTGCCAACACTTATTGTTATGAAATAACATAACGATGGGTGTGAATTTCACAATAAAAGAAAGTCATTATGTCCTGTTATGTCCATTACGTATATTAAGAATATAAAAGTACAAATGTAGTAAAACATTGCTTTCTTATATGTTACCACCACAGATTGGGAGATATTTCTGTATGGCTTCACTAATGTCGGCAACATTATTTGTAACGTTAATTTCAAATACTAAAGATTGTTTATTTTACAGAATCACAGGCCAAATTGTCTGCCCTGGTCAAAACTCTTGGCCGACACGTCTGAGGCCGAAACGTCTGGCATTCGTTTCTAGTTGTGTAAAAATAACAATATATTTAAATATATACAGATTTTACAGTAATCATAGTTAAAATGCCTGAAGATTTTTGTATATTCCTAACAAGTTTTGCTGTTCCTTAGCCTGTGCTAACCACTGTTTCCCTTGTGCATATTAGCCTGTACTTCATGTAGTGTGAACACTACTTATGTGTGTGTGTGTGTGTGTGTGAACCATATCTTGATTTTTGATTTTAGTATTTGTGTTTACAATTGAGAGTTTTGTGTCTCTTACATGTCATTTACTCGTCAGTTTGTCCATCCGTCTGAGTGTTACAAGCTGTCTGGTTACGTTCATGGATTTGTAGGAACGATATGATTATGTGGCATAGGCTGGGCCCATCTTAACAAAGTTAAGAGCAATTATGGCTCTAATAAATCTTAATTTAGCTGAAGTGTCAACACACTCATTGTGAGAATACCGTATACTTTTTTTTAACTTTTATCAGTTCAAGTCAGTAGTACATGGGGCTGCCTAGATAAGGGTTAAATTTACTGCATCTTTAATTAGCGAAAGTACAGGGTAGCTAAATTAATCAAAATACTGTATTTTCTCTTATGGAAGTGTTTCTATGGTTAAAATAAAAAATATCACAACAATTGCAATTTTTGGTTTATGTGTGTTTCTATTGGAGATGCACTTCTAATAGAGCAAATACAGTAACTTATTAGCTGAAAAGATGTGTTTTATAGTATGGTGTATGCCAGTTTAAAAATTACTGTAAATCAACTGAATTTCGTGACACAAACTCCATTAAATAATCAAACTGTGATGATTTCTAGGAGTGAAAATTAAAGATGTATGTCAAGAATTTCAATTGCAGTACGAATACCAAATCTTCATGCATTTACTTCTGTAGACAGCAAGTGGAAACATTGAAGAAAGTGTACAGAAAAGATGTTGATAAAATTACAGAAAGTCTTGCTGGAGTTGCAGATTCTAGAAACGATCATTCATCGTACAGCACACAGTCTCAACCTAGACAGCAAGTATCATTCAGCACAACACACTCTCATCTCGGCACACCCATTGGATATATCAAATCTTGCTTCAAGAGTAAAAATGGAACACCTCGTCAACCAACTATTTGTTCTCGTTCCAAGGCAAAGCTACAAATTCTGCAAAGTGCTTTCAACAATCCTGCACATGCACTTGAAGGTTTGCAACAGTTTTCTCATCTATGGTGAGTTGTGAACTGGAATTCTGTTTGGCTTTGCATTATGCTGTGCTTGCTTCATTCCTTTAGTAGTTCTGATACTTTATATGCTATACTAGAAGCACACATAAACATTTTCATTTATTGTGTGCTGGATAACATTTTTTCATACACTTAAAATTTCATACAAGCATGAAAAATCCAGCATCTTGTAATCAGAGACATGGTTTGCTATACAATGTACCATCAACAGGGATTTTTCTAGAAAAAAAACTGCAAGAGGGACCACTGCAATTCAGAGGCGCTGCCAAGTGGGGGAGATAGGGTTCTCCCTACCAGGGTGTAGAGTTTTTGATAATTCTAAGTTAAAATGGAGCTATCAGACAGGTCACAGTTGAAGACTGTGGCCACATGTGATCCCTGGTCAATCAGAATTTTATGGTTGCCAGAGGATCTGCTCCCCAGGGTAAGGGGGCACATGGCCATGGCATGAGGGCGCTGCGCCCCTGTTCCCTTGTTTAAAAAAATCACTGATCAATGCTCAAGGTATGACTTATTTTGACCATATGCACTACAGTGGTAGTCAAAAATCAGTTTGCTCTGCCTTCAAAACATGCAGTATTAGGATTGGAAGACATACACCTGCAATAAGCACTTAAGACAAAAAGTCAGGAGGGATAGCAGTGAATACAATATCCTGAAATGTTACCCTGCGCAAAAATATTTAAAAAAAACAAAAAAAACAAGCAATAACATTGTAAGAATATACTTTATTTTTAATTAGTTAAAATATGGATAAGCAAAATTAGCTAAAATAACATACTTTCTAGTCATGTTTTACAGTATTATTATAATATTATGCATACTCATTCCTCTCTGTTTATGCACTCATATTCAGTGGCTAATCAGTATCTCAAATATTGATTTTGATCTTTTCACAGGATAATATTCATTTTTCATCGTAATGGTCCTAGTAACTACACCAAAGCTAAGGTCAAACCACCCAGATTGGATGGTGCGAGAGTTGGTTTATTTGCCTCACGTAGTCCACATCGACCTAATCCTATAGGATTGACTTTGGTTCATATAGATAGCATACAAGGTAACAATAGTAATAAATAGTATCTCATTTGGGATGAAAATAAAAATACAATAATGTTTGAAAAAACAAGAAAAAAAGTTAAAAATGGTATCGAAAAAAAAAACAGCAAAAAAAATTGAATTTACATCTTTCTACCCAAGTGTAAATACTAACTCACTCACTGTTAACATGTTTTAAGAGCAGGAGATAAAATCAACAGTTGCACTATCAGTGGACATAATCTATCTTACTTTGATTGACAGGTGATACCATCCACATGTCAGGTATTGATATGATTGAGGGAACACCAGTATTAGACATTAAACCTTACATTCCTACATACGACA